TTAAATTTTGCAGAATAAGAATGCTACTTTTCTATACCATTGTATTGAAGGGGTTTCCCATGCTGTAAATGCTAAAGTGGGGATCCCACCTTTCAATTCTTAATATTCATGTCTTCTTTAGCAGAACTACGGCAGTTTTAAAGTAAAACCCGTTCTCCATAATAGCTTTCCCTAGATGAATCATCTGTTTGCACATTTCTAACAACATTTGTTGCCTTGCAATTTTGATAAATATTGCTGTGTGTTTTAACAGCTTCTCCAAATGAATTCCACTTTCTTTGGCCTTAATAAATTCTTTCTGCCTCAATCTTGGCTTCAAGTATGAATCACCAGCACTTACTGTTGCTTCAATTGTCTCCTTATTTCCTCCACTGGTAGAGTCCGTCTGCTTTACACTTCTAAATTGTTCCTTTATCACTTCAATTCTGGTTTTGCAATAGTCCCTGTGCTGCAATCTTGATTTAAATTACTTCCATGGCCCTTGATTTCCCTGCCATGCCTCATGGTGTCTGCGCACTATGGCGGAGATGCTATCTCTGAGCTTTAAATGCACCTTTATCACTTGTAACCCTTTCAGCCTCTAAATGTGTTCCTTTTTTAAAGATTTTCCTTTGCCTACCAGGGATATTAATTTTAGTCACGAAGCCTCCACCATCCTCCATCGTTGCTGCCACCATCCTCCTCTTAGCAGCAGCTTTCTCTTAGAGAAGAACCCACTAAGTTGTATAACAGGAAAAAGCACTTTGTGTTAAACAAGACGTTGTTCATACCGCAATAATAACCAACCACATTGATATGGAATACATTGTTACAAAGACTATAATAAGACCTGGGATTGACTCTTTCAAGATCCAGAGCCATTACCCATGGACTCATAGATGTTTACACCACAAGGAGGCCATTTGGCCCATCATATTCATGTTAGTCGACAAAGATTTGACTATACTCATTTTCAGTTCTTGCCCCATAGCCTGGCAGTCTTCGGCAATGCAAGTGAATATCTAAATACTGCTTAAACATTACCAGAGTTTCTGACTCAACCACACTTTCAGGTTTTGAGTTTCAAATTTTACCTTCTCCTCAAATAAAAAAAAATTCTCTTCAACTCTCCTCTTAGCCTTCTACCTCTTACCTTAAGTCTGTACCCCTTGGTTTTGACCCCTCCACAAACAGAAACTTTGGCTACTTGTTGATCTATGCCCCTCATAATCTTGTATCCCTCTATCAGAAATCCTCTCAACCTTTGCTGCTGCAAGAAAAACAATCCCAGCCTAACAATCCCAGCCTTACCAATCTTTCCTCTAAGCTCAGACATTCCAGCCCAGGCTGGATCCTGATAAATCTCCTTTGCACCTTTTGTAGAGAAATCACATTCTTCCTATAATGTGAAGACCAGAACTATATATATACTACTCCAGTTGTGGCCAAACCAGTTCCAGCGTAACCTCCCTGCTTTTGTATTCTATGCTTCAACTAATTAAGGCAAGTTTCACATGAGCCTCCTAACCAGCTTATTTACTTGCCCTGCTACTTTCAAGGATCTGTACATACGTACACTAAGGTGCCTCTGATCTTCAGTACTTGATAACATTCTACCATTCATAATGTAATCCCTCGCAATTAACTAATACTTTTCCAGGTTGAATTCCATTTGCGATTTCTCTGCCCACCTGACTAGCCCATCGAAAGCCTCCTGAAATTTATGGCTTTCCTCCTCACAATTTACTAGCCGACCAATTTCCCTGTCATCCACAAACTTCTTGATCATACATACTATCTTAAAGCCCAAATCATTAATCAAACAACAGGATCCCAGCAACAAGCCAAACAGAAGCCCCACCGGAAATAGACTTCCATTCACAGAAATATCCCTCGACCATAAGACAGACGATCATAAATAGGCCATTCAGCCCACCAAGTCTTGTTCATCATTCAATGAGATTGTTGCTGATATGACAATTCTCAATTCATGCCTTTTCCCCATAACCTTTGATTCCCTTACTAATTAAAAATATATCTATCTCAGCCTTGAATACAATTAAAACCAGAAAACATAAAAACAGAAGTAGCCATTCAGCCCATTGAGTCTGCTCCACCATTGAATGAGTTCATGACCCAGCCTCTACAACCCTCTGCAATGAAGAATTCTTCAGTTCCATTCACTCTGAGAGAAGAAGTTTCTCATCTCTGTCTGAAATGGGTGACTTCTTATTCTGAGATAGTGCCCTCTGGTCCTAGACCCTCCCACAAGGAGAAACAAAGTTTCTGCATATACCCTGTCAAGTACCCTAAGAATGAGGTCATCTCTTATTCTTCTAAACTCCATGAGTATAGGCCCAACCTACTCAACCCATCATCATAAAACAGTTCAACCTAGTAAATCTTCTCTGGACTGTCTCCAATGCCAGTATATCTTTCCTCAGAATAAGGGGTCCAAAACTATATTCTAGCAGTAGTCTGACTAGTACCATCACCCTCTACCTTCTGCCTCTCAGCTAATTCTAGATCCAATATGCCACTATGCCTTATTATCCCATGGGTCTTACTTTCTTGCCCAGTCGATCATGAGAGACCTTATCAAAAGCCTCGCTGAAGTCCATGTACACAACATTACCCTCATCAACATTCCTGGTCACCTCCTCCAAAAATTTGATCAACTTTGTCAAACACAAACTTCCCTTAACAAATCCATGCTCTCTAACCCTGATTAATCTTTAAATATCTCCAAGTGCAGATATATTCTGTACTTCAGAATTGTTTCTAATAAGTCACCCACCACCAAGGTTAAACTGACTGGTCTGTAATTTCCTCACTTATATCCGCTCTCCATTTAAAAAAAAATACCGTTAACAGTTCTCCAGTCCTCAGGCAATTAACCAGTGGCCAGAGAGGATCTGAAAATTGCTGCCAGGAGGCTGATATCCCCTCACCAAAATACTTATCATCAGATTGGGTGAACTCAATATTGTATCCAACATTAAGCCTTTCAGAACCATCACCCGAGACAACTATAATGAGTCTCAATCTGCCTGATCTAGGTTTGATGGTGACTGAAATTACCGTTCAAATTCCTAAAATGTGGCAGACAGAAAAAATATTTCATGATTCCTACACGATGTTCTTCATTTCAGATTATGAATTTACACATACTGACATACTAATATTTTCTATAAATGTAAACATTTAAAAAAATGATTATATTGTTAGTAGAAAGTACTTTCAGAATGATTTTCTGAAATACATTACAATATTCTTGTGATCTTGTGCATATTTCAGCAAATCCTACACAAGTCCCTGGACATGACTCTATAGGAGTCATGTCCATAAATATAGTGGAGTGTCCCCCACAGATGCGAGAACTCCACCCCACCTGGTGGAGGCGCAGTCTGTGGACATCAGATTGTTGCTGCGGAGAAGGCGCTATTTCCCTGCACGTGGATGCAGTCACCCATCCCAGCCGGAGATGGCGCCATGGTTGACAGTTGGAATGGGAACGATGTTTTCCTGTGTGTCGCTGCGGTTGGGGTTTGGAACGTGAGGTTGTGTGTGCACGCAGAACGGGAAGTGTAAAAATACCTCCAAACCGGCGTGGTTGATTCGGAACTGCAATTGTATCTGTATGTGTGGATGGTGTTGTGAGTCCTCCAAGCCTGCGAGGACGCTACCATTGGGCTTTATAATAGAGATAGTAGGAACTGCAGATGCTGGAGAATCTGAGATAATTAGAGCTGGATGAACACAACAGGCCAAGCAGCATCAGAGGAGCAGGAAAGCTGACGTTTCGGGCCTAGACCCTTCTTCAGAAATGGGGGAGGGGAAGGGGGTTCTGAAATAAATAGGGAGAGAGGGGGAGGCGTATGGAAGATGGATAGAGGAGAAGATAGGTGGAGAAGAGACAGACAGGCCAAAGAGGCGGGGATGGAGCCAGTAAAGGTGAGTGTAGGTGGGGAGTTAGGGAGGGGATAGATCAGTCCAAGGAGGACGGACAGGTGAAGGGGGCAGGAAGAGGGTAGTAGGTAGGAGATGGGGGTGGGGCTTCAGGTGGGAGGAGGGACAGGTTAGGGAGGCAGGGACAAGTTGGGCTGGTTTTGGGATGCGGTAGCGGGAGGGGAGATTTTGAAGCTTGTGAAGTCCACATTGATACCATTGGGCTGCAGGGTTTCCGAGCAAAATATGAAGTGCTGTTCCTGCAACCTTCGGGTGGCATCGTTGTGGCTCTGTAGGAGGCCCAGGATGGACATGTCATCTGAGGTATGGGAGGGGGAGTTGAAATGGTTCACGACGGGGAGGTGTAGTTGTTTAGTGCGAACCCAGTGTAGGTGTTCTGCAAAGCGGTCCCTAAGCCTCCGCTTGGTTTCCCCGATGTAGAGGAAGCCTCGTCTACAGTCGTGAACCATTTCAACTCCCGCTCCCATTCCTCAGATGACATGTCCATCCTGGGCCTCCTACAGTGCCACAACGATGCCACCCAAAGGTTGCAGGAACAGCAACTCATATTCCGCTTGGGAACCCTGCAGCCCAATGGTATCAATGTGGATTTCACAAGCTTCAAAATCTCCCCTTCCCCCACCGCATCTCAAAACCAGTCCAGCTCGTCCCCGCCTCCCTAACCTGTTCTTCCTCCCACCTATCCCCTGCTCCCACCTCAAGCCCCACCCCCATCTCCTACCTACTAACCATATCCCGCCCCCTTGACCTGTCCGTCCTCCCTGGACTGGCCTATCCCCTCCCTAACTCCCCACCTTAACTCACCTTTACTGGCTCCGTCCCCGCCTCGTTGACCTGTTATTCTCCTCTCCAACTATCTTTTCCTCTATCCGCCTCCCCCTCGCTCCCTATTTATTTCAGAATCCCCTCCCCCATTTCTGAAGAAGGGTCCAGACCCGAAACGTCAGCTTTCCGGCTCCTCTGATGATGCTTGGCCTGCTGTGTTCATCCAGCTCTACAGCTTGTTATCGCTTGGGTTCATAATAGAGTCGTGTGTATGCGCGTGATGTGTAGTAGCTCCTCCCAACCGCCAACGGCAGTATGATGAAGAGTTGTAACGGGGTCCCGTAGTGAGTCCTCCTATCTGGTGGGGGCGCTATGATTGGGAGTCGGAATGGGTGCCGTGAACGCGGTGCGGAGTGGGAAACGGTGTGTCTGGGCAGGAGGGAGTAGAGAACACGGCCAAGGAGGGGGAAAAACTGTGAAAATTGACTCGGCTGTGCGACGAATGACTTCTTTGACGTAACCTTGTTCGGACAAAAACTCAAAAGCTTTCTATTTCGAAATTTAAAAGAAACCCGCGCGTTCGCTGGAGTTGAGGAAAATGTCGGAAAATCAGCCCAACAACCCGAACCGGGTGAGAAACAACAACCTGAACCCGAACCCGCTCATCAATGTCCGGGACCGGCTCTTCCACGCACTCTTCTTCAAGATGGCCGTAACATACGCCAGGGTGTTCCCCCCATCTTTCCGCAGAATGTTTGAGTTCTTCGTGTTGTTGAAGGTTAATATTGTTATCTTTAATTTTGAGGGGTATCGCTGGGAAAGGGATAGGAGGCCCCTGGCTCGAGATGAGGTTGGTGGGGGGCGGGAGTTGCGCAGAGAACTGCGCATGTGCACCCTTCGTGCCCTGGTTTGGGATTGTTACCTCCTTTATTTAATATGTTCCCTTGTATATTTAACTTTACGGTCACACGCACGGTAGCGTTTGTAAGGCCACTAGATTTTGATTGCAAAACGTTTGCAGGAAGTTGTTTGGGGAATGCATTATGTATACCCAATAATCAAGTTGTTATCCTTGTCTCCATGTTACCTAACATCAGTAAAAGTTCTATACCTTTGATTACGAACCAACTACTTCTAGTTGCAATCTGTCATCAGCCTTCCCTTCAAATGAATAATCCTTCCATCTTTACACACAACCAGCACTTCAATTTCTTTTTTTTTCGTCTCTAAAGTTCTTAAACATGTCACCTCTCAACTCTTTTTCTAAAATCCCATGTTGAAATCTCTTCATATCAGGGTTCAGCCTCATGAAGGTAAAATCTCAGACACGTAGTGGTGACAAAAAGTAACTAATCTATCCTTCTATACCGTTATGTAGCCTTTAGCATGATTAACCATACTATTCTCCAATGCATCTCCATTGTTATCCAAATGGGTGATTGAGAGTGCACTTGCCAGGTTCATTCATATCCATTAAATTCTTTGGCTAGGAAGGTAATATGCATTACCTTTTCCTTATTTTCCCATGTAGGAGTATGCTGACTTCTTGTATCTGGTCTGCCCGACAGTGCTGTCATTGGTAATTGTCAATATCTGGTATTACTCTTGAAGCCTTCCTAGTCCTCATTTACATACTGCTCCTTGGTGATATCCAAAAATGTTGTCACTTGTCATGTGCAAACCTACGACACCTAACTTTGCCTGACCATTCTCTCTCAAACCCTTCATAAATCATATAGTACAGGAGAGTCCCTTTGGCCAATTAAGTCTGTGCTGCCAAAGAATGTGCTTCTACCTATAGTAGTCCCACTTTACCACACTAGGCCCATAGCCTTGAATATTACGACAATTCAATTATTTATTTATCCAAGTACTTGTTAAAGATTGTGAGGTTACCTGCCTCAAATACCCTCCCTGGCAGTTCATTCCAGACCCCACCACCCTCTGGGTGGAAAACGTTTTCTTCAAATCCCTTCCGACCTCCATGTATGTGCCCCCTGTTCTTGACCCTTCCAATAAAGGGAGCAGTTGCTGTCTGTCCACTCTATCCATGAACCTTATAATGTCATACACCTCAAATCAGGTTCTTCCCCAACGTCCCTGCTCCAAAGAAAACCAACCCAAGCTTATCCAGCTTCTCTTCATTGCTGAAATACTCCATCCCAGACAACATTCTAGTGAATTTCCTCTGCACCCACTCCAGTGCAATCACATCCTATAGTGTGGTGACCAAAACTGCACACAGTACTCCAGCTGTGACATAATCAAAGTTCTGTACAGCTCCAACATAACCGGCCACTTTCAGGGATCTATGGACAGTACTTCAAGATCCTCTGTTCTTCTGAGCTCCTTGTTGTCACTGACACTAAATTGTCAGACTGATTCTGATATCCAGTACTATAGATATGTGCAGAAATATTTCCCATCTAGGTATTGAGAAGACTGAAGTCCACATTGATACCATTGGGCCGCAGGGTTCCCAAGCGGAATATGAGGTGCTGTTTACCAGCATGGTTTCACATTTGACCCTGAGATGACCATCAAGCCACACATTTGCATTATCAGTGAGACACAGTCTTGAGTATATTTAGTAATCCAGTATCCATTGCTCTTTGAGGTGGGGAAAGCATTCCAAAGATCAACAGCTGTCATGAGAGAGGAATTATTTAAAATCTGTCTTAAATGGTGGACCCCATTATTCTGTTGTCGCTGAATCTGGATTCCCCCACGAGAGAAACACTCCTAAAACCCACATCCATGTCTTTGTTACCTCTGGATTGACTGTTGCAATACTGTCGCAGCTGACTGTCTTCATTCTCTAACTCTGCCCATTTTCTAACTCACATCAGCTCCTGTACTTCCAAAAACCCTGTGCTCTCGGACTTGTATCAGCTTCTGCTTAAGCAATGCTTTGATTTTTAAATTCTTATGCGTGTTTTCAACTCCCTCTGTGACCTCACCTCTCTCTGTCACTGTAATTTCATCAAGCTCCACAACCCTCAATTTTCTGCGCTGTGCTAATTCTGGCCTCTTGTGCATCCCAGATTTTAATTTTTCAGCATTGGTGGCTATGACTTGCTGCCAAGGCCTTAAAACTGGTTGCCTCTTAAAACCTCATTTGCTCTTTCTTACTTTTAGATTCTCCTCAAACCCCATTTCTTTGAACAAACTGCCCTACTATCCCCCCCTGTGTGGCTTGATGTCAATTTTTGTTTATAACAATCCTGTGAAGCACCTTGGGAACTTTTATTACCTTATAGACACTGCAAGTTGTTACGTGGATGGTTATTGGTCAGGCTGAGCATGTTGATTGCTTATTTGCATTCAATAAAAAAACTGCAAAAATCCAAAGCAAAATACAATTACTGTAAATGTGAGTTTTAAAACTGGAAGAAAAGTATTTAGATTCTTGAGAAGCATTTAATTGTGGCATTAGTTCTTCCAGTTCTGAAAATTTGTTTGGGTCTTTAAATTTCTCATTTGGCTAAAGGTACACAATATGGATAGGTATTACACAGGATGAAAAGTGAACTATGAATATCAAAAAAGTGTACTACCAGCACAACAACTTAGTGCTTTATCAATGAAATGATGCAGCACATTAGAGGTGTGCAAGTAATTATAGTCAAAAAAAATAGACTGTACTAAGAGAAACAATGGAAGAAATAGAAGAGACTGTAGACATCTTTCTCTAAAGCTGTCTGGCTGCTGCTGGTAAAATATTAAATAGGAAGGGATTAGTTTAAAAATGGAGGCAGCAATAGACTAATTAATGGGCACCCTCTGGTGCGAAAGTAGCTGGAAAATTATGCCAATTTTGTTCCTTTCTAGAACTTTACAGTGGAACTTGTTTAAAAAAAAAAGAAAACACCTTCAAGAGCAGACAGATATACCCTTGCTCTGCAGTTGTCTCTCCTTAAATTGCAAATGATAAAACAGATCCTTTAAACTGATGTTTTGCTGAAGTTATACAAAACATCGACTTACCTTTCTTTCCGAGTCTTGGTTATTTATTGACTAACTTCTGACAAAATGCAAATGTAACCATCCACATGGAAATATTTCAGCTTAGAGTAGTTAATAATTTATTGCATTCAGATCCTGTTGCATTTTTGTTAGCCTGGAAGTCAAACTATTTCAATAAGTTAACAGATTTATTGTCACTCGATTAGACCACGAGCCGCATGAATAGAATAGACCATTCAACCTACGGAGTCTGCTTTATTCAGCAAGATCATTGTTGACTTGATAATCCTTAACCCCAGTTTCCTGTTTTATCTTCATAACTCTCGATTCCCTTATTTATTTGAAATCTGTCTATCTTGGCCTCGAATGTACTTACTGACCCAACCTCGATAGCCCTTTTGTGGTAAAGAATTTCACAAACTCACTACTCTCTGTGAGGAAACAAAAAATCACCTCATCAATGTCTTAAATAGATGACCCCTACCCTGATATTATGTCCTTTGTTCTTAGAACACCCCTCCCCGCGGCCCCCCCCCCCCCAAGCCCCCACAATGGGAACCAACTTCTCTGCATCTACCCTGTCAAGCCCCCTAAGAATCATATATGTTGCAAGTGATCTATTTGCATTCATCTAAACTCTAATGAGTACAAACTCATGCCCTCCTCATAAAATCCCTCCACATCCCGGGATAAACCTAGGCAACTTTACCTGCAGTACCAGATGAGAGGACCAAAACAGCATTCCATCTGTGCCCTAGCTAGTGCATTTTATAAATTTAGCAAGACCTTCATATTTTTTATGCCCTATCCCCTTTGAAATAAAAGCTAACATTCTGTTTGCTTTATGTGCCGTAGCTTTCTGCTTTCTCCATTTAAGTAATTGTCAGCTGTTCTACACTTCCTGCCGAAGTGCATAACTTCACATTTTTCCATATTATATTCCAGCTGCCAAGTTTTTTTTCCCCACTCACTCCATTGTCATCCTTAGTACCTGCCTTCCCACCTTTGTGTCATTTGCAAACTTAGTGCATTCACTTCCATCATCCAAGTCATTTATATATTCTAAATAGTTGTAGCCCAGCGCAGATCACTGTGGCACTCCATTATTATAGGTTGCCATGCTGAAAATATCCCTTTATGTCAACGCTTTGTCTTCTCTTAGTTACCCAATTTTCTATCCATGCTAACCGCAACACCATGGGCTGTCAAGTTAAGTAGCTGTAAATACAGTACCTTACTGAACACCTTTTGGAAATCCAAATATACTGCATCTACTGCATTCCCAAGGCTTAAGCGGCTGTGGGCCAAGTGCTGAAAATGGAATTAGAATGTTTAGGTGGTTGTTTTTGATTGGTACAGACTTGGGCCAGTGTGTCTGTTCTGCTTCTTAGCTCCTCAAAGAACTGTAATAAATCTGTCAGGCATGATTTCCCCTTCTTGATGACTCTTCTTGACTATAAACTGTATTGCTAATCTGGTGTGAGTTTCACCCACTTTACAGTGGAAGCAGATCTTTTGTGACAACCTATTTTTGTAACAAGTATTAACAATAATACTGTTTTTTAAAATTTGGATTTATGACACATTGCTGGGCTCAGAATATAGGGAGCTGAGCAATAAAAGTGCAAGTTTTGTTACCCAATACTAACCTTCAGTGGCCTTGATGAATAAAGAGAGGTGTCTTTTTGGCACATTATGGAAATTATTAAAATTTACTGTGAATTACGATTATGTCCATATTATGTTGTCTTGTGTGCCATCTCACCTTTGCATTTTCCCATTTACCGTTGTTTAATTTGCTAATGCTTGTTA